TATCATCAACATAAATTTGACAAATTAAAATGTCATTTTTAAATGTTTTTCGGAATAAAGTTGTGTCCACTTTCCCTTTGGTAAAATCCTTTTCTTAAAGAAAATTACTCAAATGTTCATACCAAGCTCTGGGAGCTTGTTTCAGACCATATAAAGACTTTTTTAGTTTAAAAACATGTTCTGGATATTTTGAGTCATTAAAGCCCAGAGGTTGATGGACATAAACTTCTTCTTCTATATAACCATTTAAAAATGCACTTTTAACATCCATTTGATATAATGAAATGTTATTTTGAACAACAAAAGAAATTAATAATCTAATTGATTCTAACCTGGCGACTGGGGCAAAGGTTTCATTATAATCAATTCCTTCTTGTTGACTATAACCTTGTGCAACCAATCGTGCTTTTTTTCTGAACACCACTCCTTGCTCATTTAATTTGATTCCGAATATCCATTTAGTTCCTATAATATTGAATCCTTTAGGTCTTGGAACTAGATCCCACACATCGTTTCTGGAAAATTGATTGAGTTCATCTTGCATAGCTAGGATCCAATCATTATCTTCCAGAGCTTCATCAATAGAGGTTGGCTCAATCAGAGATACCAATCCAAACAATGATTCTTCATTGATTCTGAGGGAGGATCTTGTTCTGATGGGATCTTCTTTCTTTCTTTCTTTCTAATAATCACGTCTTCTTTATGAGCTGAAGAGATTCTGGGAAACCTTTTCTGAGAAGGTTGTTCAGAGATTCTGAGATTATCCAGAGCATTATCAAGAGGAGGATCTTCTGAGTTGTCCTTTGCTTCTGACTTTTCAAAGTTTGAGAGATGATCTTCTGTACCTGCAGAAATATCAATTTGCTTTGGCTGTTGCTGGCATAGCTTATCATCAAACCTGACTTTGATTGATTCTTCAACAATCAGAGTTTCTGTGTTGTATACTCTATAGCCTTTTGAGCGTTCAGAATATCCAAGCAGAAAACACTTTTGTGCCTTAGAATCAAACTTGTCCAGATTATCTTTAGTATTCAGAATATAGCAAGTACATCCAAAAGGATGGAAATATGAAATGTTGGGTTTTCTGTTTTTCCATAATTCATAGGGAGTCTTTTAAGAATAGGTCTTATAGAGATTCTATTCTGAATATAACATGTTGTGTTCACTGCTTCTGCCCAGAAGTGCTTAGCCATATTTGTTTCATTAATCATGGTTCTGGCCATTTCTTGTAAAGTTCTATTCTTCCGTTCTACAACTCCATTTTGTTGGGGAGTTCTAGGACAAGAGAAATTATAAACAATACCATTTTCTTTAAAATATTTTTCAAAATAATGGTTTTCAAATTCTCCTCTATGATCACTTCTAACTTTTATAATTCTAAAATCTTTTTCATTTTGCACTTGGTTACAGAAGTCAACGAACACAGAATGTGACTCATCCTTGTGTTTTAAAAACTTAACCCATGTCCATCTGCTGTAGTCATTAACAATGACTAATCCATACTTATTGTCTTTGATGGATGCAGTTTTAACTGGCCCAAACAGGTCAATATGAAGTAGTTCTAATGGTCTAGAGGAAGAAACAACATTTTTTGATTTAAAAGAAGGTTTTGAAAATTTTCCTTTTTGACATGCTTCGCACAGAGCTTCTGAGTTGAACTTCAGATTAGGAAGTCCTCTGACTAAATTTAGTTTATTTATTTGAGAGATTTTTCTCATGCTGATATGTCCCAATCTTCAGTGCCACACCCATTGCTCATCGCCAACAGACAAAAGGCATTTTACATTCTGAGTTTTAAGATCTGACAAATCAATTTTATAGATGTTATTCTTTCTCTTGCCAGAAAAGAGGATTGTTCCATCTTTTTGACTAACAGCTCTACAAGAATTTTGATTAAAGATAATGTCATAACCGTTGTCACTTAATTGACTTATGGACAACAAGTTATACGCTAATCCTTCTACTAACAGAACATTAGAGATAGAAGGAAGGTTACCGTTTCCAATGGTTCCAGAACCAATAATCTTTCCTTTCTGATTTCCTCCGAATTTGATGTCTCCTCCAGATTTAAATTCGAGGTTTTGGAACATAGACTTCCTTCCCGTCATGTTTCATGAGCATCCAGAGTCCAGGCACCATGACTAGTGTTTCAACTAAGCTGTTAAGGACATCTGCAACATATATTATTTTCTCCTTAGGTACCCATATCTTTTTGGGTCCTTTTTGGTTAGAGTTTCTAAAGTTTTATTTGAACTTTGGATTAGCATAAAAATTTCCAGAGTGAGATGTGTATTTAATATCATGTGTGTGCCCAAAACTAAATTGTTTGTTCAGAGGTTTATATGTGAAAGCCATCTTAACAACATGTTTTGGTATATATGATTCCTTCCCTTTGGGAGTTTCATATCCAATTCCTCTTTTGTTGTTTCCACTAACTCCATAGATCATTGAAGCCATTTTGCTTCTATCTATGCTTTTAGCAAGAAAAGTTTGAAAGCTAGAGTCATATTCTTTAAGAATATCTCTTGAACTTGACGCAGAATCTGAAATAGAAATTTTTTTAACTTTTTGAATTTCCTCTTTGAGTTTAAAATTATTTTCTTTGAGTTCAGAGTTTTCTATTTCAAGTTTCTCAAGATCAGATGCGAGACTCTTTTTGAGTTTCTTGTATTTGATTTTGAGTTGACTGTAGTTTTCAAGAAGTTCTGATAAACTTTCTGCAAGTTCAGCTCTAGTAAATTCAGAGAACACCTCTTTTAGTTCTGACTCACATTCTGAGTCATCTTCTGTGGTAGCCATAAGAGCTAGGTTGGCGTTCTCATCTTCTGAGTCAGATTCATCTTCAGAAGATTATGAATCGTCCCAGGTGGCCATCATGCCTTTCTTTATACCAAACTTTTTCTTTGGTCTTTCTCTTTGTAGTTTTGCATAATCACTCTTGTAGTGTCCTGGTTCTTTACATTCATAGAAGATTATCTCTCTTCTGTTTGACTTCTTATATCTAGAAGATTCTGGTTTATCTTCTGACCTCTTGTAGTTCCTGAACTTCTTCTGTTTGTGCTTCCACATGTGGTTGATCCTTCTGGAGAGCAAGGATAGTTCATCTTCTTCTGATGCAGATTCTTCAGAGTTTCCTTCTTCTGTCTGAAAAGCATTAGTTTCACATTTTTTAATAGATTTAAGGGCAACAGACTTACCTTTCTTCTGAGGCTCGTGTTCATCAAGTTCTATCTCATGACTTCTTAAAGCGTTGATGAGTTCTTCAAGAGACACATTGTTCAAATCTTTTGATACTTTAAAAGCAGTAACCATAGGTGCTCATCTTCTAGGTAAACTTCTGATAATCTTCTTAACATGGCCTGCCTTGGTGTATCCTTTGTTCAGAACTCTCAGGCCGGCGATCAGAGTTTGGAACCTTGAGAACATAGCTTCTATAGATTCACTTTCTTCCATTTTGAAGGCTTCATACTTCTGGATGAGAGCCCGAGCTTTAGTCTCTTTTACTTGAGCATTTCCTTCATGAGTCATTTTGAAAGACTCAAACATGTCATGTGTTGTATCTCTATTTGTGATCTTCTCATATTCCATTTTAGAGATGGCGTTCAGAAAGATATTTCTAGCTCTGTGGTGATTTTTGAAATCTGCTTTTTGTTGTCTATCCATATTCTCTCTATCAATCTTGTTTCCTTCTGAGTTTATAGGATGTGTGTAACCATCTAAGACCATATCCCATAAATCAGAATCATGACCTAGAAAGAAACTTTCTAGTCTATCTTTCCAATATTCAAAATCTTCTCCATCAAACACAGGAGGTTTAGTGTAGTTATTGTTGTTTTGTTCAATTGCCATAATGTTTTCCTCCTGGATCTTTTTCTGACACTGTTAAGTGTTTGCGCTCAGAACCAGGCTCTGATACTAATTGAAGGGTGAGAAAACACTTAGAAGGGGGGGGGGGGGGGGGGGGTTGAATAAGTTTTTCCTTTTTCTTTTTCTTACTAGCTCAACAATTATGGAAAGACACAGTTATTTTTATCCTGGTTCGTTTGAACTCAAACTACTCCAGTCCACCCGCCAAGGTGATTTCGCCTTTCTCAACAAGGACTTAATTCACAATAATCAAACAGATTACAATCACACAACCAAATTGTTGTGACTAACAATACAAAGCACAAGTAAACTTACAAGTGACTAACACCACTATGACTCAAACTAGTCCTAGCCTTCTTGAGAAATATGACCAAGCTTGGTCTCTCAAGGAACAAATACAAGAATTTAATCTTTACAATAGTGAAACAAATTGCTTCTTGGAAAGCTATATCACAAACTATGATTTATCACTAAAATAAGTTTTGCACTTGAGAAAATAACAAAGTGTTTGTGAGCAGCAGAATAGTTTTCACATTAGTTGGGTAGTTGGCTTGCAATAAATGATTTTCTATTTATAGCATGAGGAAAACGACTGTTACTGCCTTCAAAAGTGAGTAGCAATTAATGTTTGCGTGTTAGCTTGCACTTTTGTTTCTTTCAATGAACTAGCGTAGAGACACTTGAGTGCTTTAGCCGTCTTTGCATTAAATGAACAAACGGCACTGTCAGAGCTTGTTTCCTGAAACTTGACAAGACTGTTTTCTTCTTTAATCTTTCAAAACTTGCTTCAGATCTTGCTTCAGAATTTGCTTGCAAATAACTTCTCATCAGAGCCTGCTTGCAAAATACTTCTAAACAGAGTTTGCATGGAAACTTGCTAAGATTAGAGGATGCTTTAAATTGCTTCTTATCAGAGCCATCATCAGAACTTGCACTAAAATAAATAGTTCTTTCATCAAAGAACTTCTTCATTTATATTCAGCTCAACACGTAAAGTAATTTTCACCTTAGAAAATGCTTCAGTCAGAACATTATCTAAAATAAAGAAATATGCTCATCAGAGTATCAATTGTACAAAATATATTTTATTGTTATAATCAAAACTCTGGGATATGATCAGAACCAAATTTGTTCTAACAATAAGCAGTTTCTTCTATGGAGTTTCTTTTCCCATCATTCCATGTCTCGTTGAGAACATGAACAGTTCCATCACTGTTTAGAGTGTAGGTGGCTCTAGTGTTCACGCCATTTGCAGGCTGAAAAAATGAAGGGAATGAAACAATCTCATACCAACGACCCATGTATCTCTTTAGGTCTACACCCTTCACAACCTCTGGCACTCCTTCTATGTGATATGCCATTGTTTGTTGTAGTTGTTGGTTGTGATTGTGTTATGAGTAGAGATAGATTAGTTTGTATAGGTAGAAATTGATTGTTAATAAACATTATGAATGGGAGAATTGATTGAGAATATGCATGGATTCAATGTCTCATTCAATTAAAAATTCAAACTGGAATTGAGATAAACATGAATTTTCAAAACAAAAAATTAAGAAAAAACTTAAAATAGATGTAAAACATTTAAACGTTTAACAAAAAGTTAAACAATTGAAATAGAAAAAAACTATATTGTTATAATAAAAAATATTTCTACTTTAAAGAATATATTTTTTTTCAAACCAATAATTCAAAGATCATATAAAATATATAAAATTCAAAAGACCCCTTAAAAAAAAGCACATAAAATATAATTTTTTTAAAAAGTATTAAAAATTTAATTTACATTTTATTGTTTTAAACAAATAAATTCTAACATTTATTTGTTTATAAATTCAAAAGATCCCTTAAAAAAATCACATAAAATATAATTTATTTTAAAAAGTATTAAAAAACTAATTTACACACACACACACACACACACACACACACACACATATATATATATATATATATATATATATATATATATATATATATATATATATATATATATATATATATATATATATATATATATATATATATATATATATATATATATATATTATCAATAAAATTAACCAAAAGAAAAAAAAATTAAATTTGACAAGAGTTTAACAACCTACCAAAACATTCTAAGTAAATCCACTTAGTTGTTAAACAACCTGAAATAATATAATAGTCAGAAGAGTTTTTGTTTTCATGAAGGTCGGGTTTTTCCTTTAGATATAGAAGTTAGAGTGAAAGTGAGTTGTATTTCATTTGGGTGGTTGAAGAAGTTTCAATCGTGTGGTTTTAAAGTACTACTATAAAAACACACATTTTACTTTGGGCGCGAAAGAAATTTTACCTCGGTTACACAAGAGAGGTAACGAAAGGCGTCATGGAAACTTGTCACTTTACCCTTCAATTTCAGAATAACTTAGGGGATATTTGAAATGGTCATTGGTTTGATCCCTAGCAAGATTTTTTATTTATTTTCAAAATTATGTAGTGTGTGCCACATACTACTTGATTTTTCTTAATAACAGAGGAGAAAAGGTCAGTATTTACGTCGGTTTATAACATAAGTTTATAACCTATTTTTTGTCATTTATGATTTGTTTTAAATCCCATTTGGATTGACCTGTATCATTTGTTTTCATAGAAACTACAGTTTTTGTGACAAAATCAGATTATTTTATTTTATCCAGAACATAAAATGGCACATCAAGAGAATGTACAAAAGTGAATGTACACATATCTAAAATGGTACATCAAGAGAACCTATACATATTTAAAAAAAGAATCATATAATACTTACAATACCACTGCATACACATTTGTTTGTTGACTCTTATCCCTAACGTCTTAAACTTCAATTCACAATATATATTATTTAATTTGAAATTGATTAGTTCGGGATTTTTTATTGTATTTCTGAGATTATGTGCGTTTGAGGAAGAATTGGAAGATAAGAATATAATTTTTGGAACCAGTGTGAGAAGGCGAGTAAGATGACATAGGTGCTTGGCGTTTCTGGACCTGAGACCACTGTCGCCGCCACCACGTGGCTCGCCGGCGCCTGGCAGTCACGAGGTTGAAGAAAGAGATTTGGCCCGAAGAGTTTAAATTTTTTAATCACTTTTGGACTGAAAACGACGTCGTTTTGCGTTGTGTTGATTTTCTTTTTTAGTTTTATTTTATTAGTTAATAATAATAATAATAATTGAAAAAATGAATTAAAGTGGACTTATGTTTGGTTATTTTTTGGGCCTGATGTTTGTTTTGCTACGTTAAGCCCCATGTAAGCCCAAAGCCACACAATTTTTGTTAACCTGAATGATATGCAACAAAAACTCATCCTAGACCTGATTTGAGTGGGTCTGACACGTGATTTACTGAATCAAACATCCACATCCAGTGCTGCACCTTCTTTATTTCTCACTTTTATTTTATTTTATTTTATCTTTTAATTGACTTTTGTTTTTATTTTCTTTTATGATTTTAATAATTGAAAATTATAAAAATGTTAGAAATGTCACGTAATATTTTTAGGATTATTTTGGCATTTTATCTTTTGACTTTATGATTTTATTTTCTTTCATTTTTGTGTTGATTTTTTATTCAAAATGGTGTCATGTCTTTGATGCTTCTTGATGATCTTTCATGAGTGAACTTGTCTGGAGTTAATGCTTGCCTTGGTGCTTGATGTTATTGTGTGTTTGCTTGTTTGATTCACGATCCCTTAAGTTCTCTTGGTTCAATTTTAATCCTTGATTAAATTAAATTAAGATTAGACATTAGGCTTAAAATCAAGCATGATAACATTAGGTTAAGTCTTCCCTTAATCTCAACTTTAAGTCTACCATGGCATGATAACATCAGGGTTCAAGTTTTCCTCTTACTTTTGCTTTTCTCTTTTGCATTGCTTCTCTTTTTATTTTAAAAGACAAAAACTTCTTTTCTTAATCAAATACAAAAAACATAATAAATACGATAAGTGTAAATACGCCATGAGCCTTAAGCAAATGGGGAAAGATGAGCGGGAGCCTTCCTTACCTCTTCTTAGAGTATTTTGTACGTGAGACGCCTGGCTCATTTGTACAAAATATTCACCCTCATTTCATAAATTTTAGTATAACACGTATCTCAAACAAATTTCAAAACTAAAGAAGAAGTACTTAAATACCCCCAGCCTTAGAGGACCATGTGATGTATCTCATAACAAAACACTTCAAATCCAAACCAATTTTCCTTTTGGCTTTTCTCTTTAAAACTTTTTCAAAGAGGACATGTTATTTTTGTTCTACCGCAATATAGGCTATCCTTATTGGTAGAGCGTGAACATTAATGTTGTCCATAAAAAACACCCAACAAATAAACTTTTTTGAGACGAACTATGGAGTTCTGATTTCTTCATTGAACTATGAGGATACATAGGCATATGGTTGCAAGACCTTGGCAAACTCAATAATAAACCTTTTCATTTTCCCCATTAATTCATTCATGCATTCTTATCAAGTTATAGATTTAGATAGACCACACCCTTAGAAACAAACAAAATGGATTCCATTGAGTACAACAGATGTAAGAGGTGCTAATACATTCCCTTTGCATAACCGACTTCTAAACTCGTATCTTGGTTGCAAGACCATCTTATCCTTTTTTGGGGTTTTCTAGATGTTTTTCCTTCCCTATGGGATAAATAAAGTTCAAAGGAGACTCTGTAATTTTTTCACGGTGCGACAGCTGGTGACTCTGTTGGGGACCTAAGCAAGTCAATCCTAACTTCATTTGTTTGTTTCTCTGGGTGTTTATTCTTTATGCTTTACTTGTTTTATTCATTGCAATTTATTATTCATATATCCTGCATATATGATGCTCTATTCTATTTGTGGGGTGTGTGATAATTTGTAGAGATAAGCCCACTACCCAGGCTTAGGTATGCACATATGATTAGAGTGGATAGTCGTGTTGACTCATGCGCCTGATGCATTGAGTTGGCATGAGACCCACACCCAGACTAGGTTCCCTTGGGGATGGTTTTGTCCTGCATGCTTGTGCATAAGACAAGGTGTTTTCATATATGACCCATAACTATGGGACCTTTTAGGAGCATCTATTTAAGACTAGAACCCACACGTGAGAGGGATATGGGTTTTTGCAGGAAACCTTGACCTTCATCATACCTAGTTTTCTTGTTTCTAGAGACAGTTCTGAACTTTTAATCCGTTATATTCAGCCTATTTAGAGGATTGTACATCAGTTATTCATAGGATTGTAGAGTGGTTATCCAGAATATATGATTCTTTGATCCCATCCCATTGAATACCATGAAATTGTATTTGTAAATGTATTATAACATATGCATTCCATTTCCAAGAAATCCTAAATTTGAATCTTTTGTTGAGCTTTCCGAAAGATAAATATTGTAAGAAGAATACTTATGGATAGATAAGTCTTTGGGTTTCCCTAGAAATAAAAAATAAAAATAGAATAGATACATACAATCATTCACACAAAAAACATGCATTCATTGTTCATATCAGAAACTTATTGGGGTCCTTTCTGCTCAAACTTCAAATTCAACAAAATTAACTTCCTTACACCCCACCCTACCAGAAGCAACCAGCGAAGATTCATGGATCTCTTTAAACATAAACAAAACTTAGCAGTATTCTGCCTGATTTCTTCCTGTCTTTGGATGACAATGTGGAGAGTCTCGAGAAGTTGATTCATTCTGGCACCCATAACGTATATTCCCTGATGAAGAGAGTTTTGATTATGTTTAAAGAGATCCATGAATCTTTGTTGGTTGCTTCTGGTAGGGTGGGGTGTGTGATCGGTGGATCTGGAACTGACTGTTTAACGCTGGTTCGCGAAATGTCGCGGAAGCAAGAGTCGCCACCGTCTTTTATTTTCTCCAATTCGAAAGGACAAAAGCACAGAAAAATTCCTTAAAGAGATTGCTCTCGGTTCGGGAGGTAGATTATAGAAAGGGAAGGTGTTAGCACCCTTCCTATCCATGGTTATCCATGGGCTCTTAGATACTTGCTCATTGTGTTTTCAAAAATGGTTTGTTTGCTTTTCAAGGTGAGTGGGTTTGAAAAAGTTTCTTTGAAAGTTTCAGATCGACTCTTGTATCAGTCCTCAAGAGTGTTTGAAAAAATTTGCTTTCGAAAGCTTTTTGAAAAGGTGTCGGTGTGAAAAGTATTTGTGAATTTGTTTTGAAATTAGAGCAAGTATCTAGAGTCGTCTACCTACCCTAAGGAATTCGTCTGTGTAAATGTCCTTTAAAGTAGTGTCATCCCACCATTGAGAGGTAGGTAGCACCACCGTTGGAGGTGTTCGGGTCAATTCGAGGTTCGGGACATGGTGATCACCAGAGCAATGGGAAGAT